TTTATTTTAGACATCATGTAAATTGGTGATTAAACTGACAGCACTCATTCTCAAACGGACAGGTCTACTTGCAGTCACGACTCCAACTACTGGTGAATCTAGTAGTTCTACGCTGTGCCGCTATATCTTCTATCGGACCAAAGATTATGCAAATGTTTCGGTTAATATAATTTTGAATTGAGTGGCATATTTTTTTAATTTAACTATTTGCTCAATGCTCCTAATAAGTTCTAGAAATATCTTAGGTCGCAACGAATTCGAATTTTGAATTTTCTGACTCCGCCAAAGCCTGACGTACTTTCCCGCCAAAATGGCTGTTTAGTGCGGATTCCAGTTTCGCTAGAAAGCAGCTTGGCTTGGTTTGATTCTCAAATCAATTGAAGTAGCCTAGTTTGAAAGTGTGAACTTGTATATTTTACACTATGGTGCCTGAACAGAAAGTTTGGAGAAAGAAATACTGTTACCTAGGTTGTAAACTCTGACTACGGGTGCTGTAGACTACCGGTAGATCTTCAGGTTTTGCAAGGTGAGTTAATTTATGCCACATCTGTCATTAATAATCAATTTTGCATTAATTGGATTGGCCTGTTAACTACAGCATTGCCGTACTAGATATCCCATCTCTGCATTTAAACAATGAGCTATTGTAGGCCTACCGTAGACTACCATATTCTGTTACTACTTATCGATTTTAATCAGTAAGTATGTTGATAGGTATTTTCTGTGTGTATGTCTGTTAGATGCACGCGATATCTCACGAAAGCGAAATGAATCTGCTCCAGATTTTGCATATGCATTCATCTTATCTCGGACCAAAAGCCTATTCATTTTAAGAGAATTATGTCGTATAATTTATCGAGTTATTAATTAATTGGTGATGGGACACAAGGCGTCACTATGGAGTAAGAGCGCTGTTTTGGTGATCCCCTAACTTTCGATCGATAAGTCTTCGGTCTCTGACCGATATTCTTGTTTTAACTTTTAGTTGCTTATGTTCAATCTTTGTTACCCGCTATTCTATTTATTGGAGTTTTGAGCCGAGGTAGGTCTACTACAGCCAATGCTGAAAGGTCTCTGATTTTTCGTATTTTCCAAAAGTAAAATTTCAGACAATTCCGATAATGTTAGCATAATCCTTAAAAAGCAAAAAGATTTACAATAGCCTACTAGCAGACTGGTAAAATTGTAATTTCAGTTACCCTGCGATTTGAAATGACTGATTCGAGATTGGACTAATCTAAAATAAAATGCATCTGGAAAGACATCTCTAGTGAAACTGCAAGATTAGCTACTGCAGTAGACAGTCATGAACTTTTTATGCCTATATCATTTTCATACATCTTCAATCAGCTGATTCTTTTTAGTTCGGAAGTGGAAAAACATATTCTGCCATTTTACCCCTGGGGCATTCTCATTTGGCCCTTATTCAAGTCTGTCATTGTATCAACACTACAAACGAATTTCTGGAAAGGTGAGGAACTGGTAGCCTATTGGTGTTTATTTTTCGATGGCAATGGTAAGGGATTTGAATGTTTAATAAATCAAAGCCTTGCTTATAAATATGAGCATCAATATTACTGTATGGACCTTTCCCCGAGCATCGACTTCCTTGTTTACTTCTTTACATTGGCCAATCAGCAAAATGCAAAAGTTAGGTAACAATGCCCTCTTTTCGCATCCGCTCAGACACTTTTCTCACTCAGACAGATTTTCAAGCGTGATTGTAAACATTACCTCGTTTTCGAGTTTTTGAACTCTATTGGTTAGTTTTTAGTTGTATTTCGGAAACTTGAATATTAATCAGATATTTCAATGATCACTTTGTCTTTCTAGGAGTTCTAATTTAACTGCAGTGTTAAAAAAATAAGTGTGGAAATAGCTGTGAAAATTCTTTACCGGTACTTTTAAAAAACAGATTGTTGTATGCGATGAATCATGATGATGGTTTGGAACACATTCCCCATTTTACAGGCGCCGATTCGCAAAAGCACTCTTAAAATAGCCCCGAAAATTTTGCAATGGTAAAGTATAGGTAGAATTTTTCGGGGTCAAAGGTCGGGGAAAGGTCCATATAGTGGGCCTCCTTGCACTAAGTTGATTTTGTGCAATAAATGGGTAAATAAGTTCAAACATAGCTTTTTGTCTTTTTATATAACAATTTTCATTGCTTGGAGAGATAATGTTATAATTGCGAGCTTCAGAAAGGATCTATAATAAATTTAACTTCTTCTGAGCATTGAATATAATATGAATCTACCACATCTATCACTGCTAATGGAATCATTTTACCCCAGCAGATCAAGTTATAACATATGTAAATATGTTGACTTCTCACTCAACTACTTGTTTGCATTTATACCGGCTATGCCATTTTTTTTCAGCCATATTGCCAAGATAAATAGCCAGTGAAATCAAAAAGTGCAAGAAAAGTGACAGCAATGTTGAATATATTGGATGGTTTTCACCTATATGAAGAGATGAAATGAACTATTTTCCTGGCGGAAACAATCACTTCTCGAGTGTATTTGATACTATTGCGTTGCTGATATTTGACCACATATTTTATTAAAAGTGATTTCTTTCAATTGTATTTCATTTCTTCAGGTGGTGGCATCAGGGTTGATCGAGTTACTTTGCGGATGTTGTTTAGTTTTACAACTTCTTCTTGTAGTTAAGGTTAGCAGCGCTATGGCTGTAAAAATCGGAGACATCCAACCCACTGCTTTTGCCTAGTTACCTAGTACATACATTTGGTTGTAAAATTACAACCGCTTGCAACGATCCAATACGTATATGGTGTTTACAGGTGCATGAAATCGCTGCTGCCGCGCGTTGGGTTGTAAAGCGCCCTTGGTCGCTACACGAGTAAGAACTTAAGTAAATGACGTTACGAGCATGCGGGGGAAAGTGTTTTTCGTGTGCGGAACGTAAACGTGCTACGTGCCAACGTAATTGCTTAACGTCGCTGCGTAACGGCGTAAATGTGTTAGGTAGTTATTTACGTCGCCTCGATCTCGCGACAAACGAAATCACGAATAAAAATGCATCCAAAATTTGAATGGTGCAACATAATTTCAATCTAATGGTATCACTGGAAAGCTATCTTCAACTTCTACAAATGTTGTCGATAATGTAGTAGGTTAAATCGAAAACAAATTGAAGTTTTTTCAATTAGATTTAGAAGTTTTTTTTCCACTTCAATTTTGCCAATTTTCATAAGATGATCACAATATTTTATCTCAATTTTAAAGTTATACTTAGTCCTGTAGATTATCTTTCACACGATGTAAAACTTGTCTAAATATAATATATGGTTCGCGAGATATGAGGGTTTCAAAGTTGCATACCTCATACGGGATGCCAAAGCCACTAAAACGGCTCTCAGCGTCAGAAGACTTTCTCGGGAAAGCCGCTATAGCGGCTTTCAGGGTTCAAGGAGTTAATGTTTTTTACAGTGCCCAACAAACAGTAAATATTGTTTCTTTTTCGTAGTTTTTCGTGTTATTTGTCAGTTTTCAGTTGCGTTTCAAAAAAAATTTGTGAATTAAATATCTTAATTGTCATTATGTCTTCAAAGCAGCATTAATTCAATTGCTATAATCAAAAATGAGTCTCGCAAATGCTGCGATAGACTAAGCTAAACTAAGCTATCAGTGCTTGTACGCGGCACATGGTTGATTAATTTTAATAAAAATGAGGGTTTTTAAACACGTAAACCAGCTTATAAGCGCCAACAAATCAAAACAATCTCGAAATAAGTATAAATTGTTTTGCAATAGTAAAGTATAGGAAGAATTTATCTGAGGTCAAGGGTCGGACAAACGTCTTTCCGGCCAGTCCAATCTTTAGAGATCGCCCTCGCCTGCTATTGTCCACGAAGGAATCGAGATGGTCATGTTTTCGTCCGCCTTGCGAATTAGGTCACTAAGGATGTAGTGCCACATTATAAAATACTCCCATAGCGCGTGTCTTGTGCCATGCCAAAAAGGGGGGCTTGTGAGCCAGACGAATAGAAGATGAGCCACAACAATTGAGAGTGGTCAGGCTGCTTACGAATTCAGTAATCACTATACGTCACCTCCTTCCGTCAAACTCGCAATACGTCACATCCTTCCGTCAAACAAGGCAAATAACCGTCTTCGTCAGGTTTTCGAAATGTGCGTGAACTTTGGTTATATGTAGGATAGCTAGTAACATATTGAAAATCATAATCTTTAGCAAATTTTCAAAATTCCTCGCTATCATATTGAGGAACGTTGTCAGAAATAAATTTTTCTGGTAACTTGGAGTAAGAATTCAACGTCACCAAGTACTTTCTGCAGGCTATTCAAACAATATGGGCGCAATAATTTCCGATTGTCGAGAAGGAATCTCATAGATGATTATCTATTTATTTTGTAGATTGGGTTGAAATACTTGACACGTGGTACATGTCGAGACATAATCCTGTATAGGCATTTTTGGTCAAAACAAAAATAAATTTCTTGTTCTACGAATACAAGCCTGTATTCCAATGTGACTTGCCTGTATGCGCTGCATATCATATTTTTTGGCAGATTCTGGTGCCACAATTCGACATCCTTTCACCCATTTTGAATAGATGGGTCTTTTTAAAAAGTAAAATATTCTTGCACGGACTGTGGAAGGTGTTTCTTAGTAGCCTAATTAAGGCTCCGAGAGTTTGCAACGTGAAATCTTTCTTTGTAGATATTTGTAAAAAATCATGCATTATTTTGCCAACACTGCAATCTTCCAACATGTCAATTTTCGGATTTGTCCCATCCTTACTACCTGCTACCTGACTGATTTTTACAAAAACTATAAATTTAATAGAAAACTCCTGCTATTTTTGTTTTACAAAAGTCAAACCAATTTATTTATGTGTTTTGAAGAAGATTCATACTTTTTATTGATATAATGCTTCTAAAAATGCTACAACATTGTGCTCTCAAAATCATGCATTATAATCTAAGTATCCATGTACAATATTCAGGAACCAGTATTTCGTCGTTAGAATACTTGAGCACCGGAAACTGGATGACATTGAAGATTCAAGCAAATGTTGTGGGGACTGGAATACCAAAAGTCAATTTTTCCGCCAGTTATTCGGCCTTTACAGCAAGTGGGTTTCTGAAGTCTAAGATATTTTCTAGAACAGAATGTCATCACAAATCTAAAGAATTAATATCGAATAAAATGTCAACTAATATCAATATCGAATGAAATTTGTCTCAAAATTCATACCAAATCAATCAAACACTCAAAAACGTGTATTTTTGGTAGCGAAAGTGTTTCATAAACAAAAATCGAAATGTTCTTGATAATCCACTAGGTGACAAATCTTTCAAGGTATTCGCTGACTCATTACGATATTGAGCGATGAAATGACAGCAACGTTTAAGTTAGGGTCATTTTATATATATTCCTTTGATATGCCATAGTATCTTAACTTTAGCAAAGAGTATCGATGCTTCCCACTGGCCAAGTTCTCAGTGCGGTGCGTGTGATTGAATTTCTTAATTATTTTCATACATGTGCCATGTAGAACCTTGTAAGTTTTCTGCTCAAGAAACAAACTGTAGTACATTAAATCGGTGTATCTATAATGAATTGCTGTGTGACGGAGTCGATGGATGTGGAGATAACACGGACGAAAGTACAGACCCACCAGCAAATTGCAATGCAACTACAACTGTGTCAACGCCCAATACAGGTTCAAATTTTATACACAAATACGTTGAACTCTGTAACGTTTGTTGTTGAAGGATGATGTTTTTACCCTGCTCTTATTCAGAATCCTCTACATGTGTATGCCATCACAATACCAATTGGCGGTTGATTATTTGGGGTTAGGAATTCTTTGAGTGTAAAGATATTAACACCTGTTTTATTTATGTCGTTTTGAAATAGACCTTTTATTGATTCAGATATAAAACGCTGGAACAATTTGGAATCTTATCCTCACATTTTAACATTACATAGTAACAGGTTGATATATATCTAATGCACAGTGGTAGTACCACAAGGCTAATAATCATCAATGCTAATAATTTGTCCCAATTTTTAAGAAAACCAATATGCTATGGTGTATTGAGTTTGCCGAAAATTTCAAAAGCCAAAGTTGTAAACTATTGATGAGATTTTTGAAATTTGAATCTATTTCAATGGAAATATTATAATTTATACAGGTGCTACGAATCCTGCTCCTGGACCAGTAGATAGTGCAACTGAAACAACAGCTACAATCAGTACAGTGACGTCATCAACAACGTCACCAGATACCGTTTTTCCAGATCTTACCCCACTGGTTGCAATTTTGGTAATCGCAGGAGTATGTTTGTCTGTATACGTGTTCTACATATTAATGTCGTTCTCCTGGTTCAATAGTCTCATATATGCTTGTCTCAGATCATGTCTTCAATACGCCTTGCGTCGGCACAGAGATTACAAACGAAAGAAAAAGGTTAGTAAAGTATAATAATTATCAAAATAATAAGTATACACTCACTTGTTGTTTAAATTTTAATATTCAGAGTATTTGAAAGGTATTAGCTCAAAGTAACGGCGGGATGAATCATGTCACATAACCATGGACAAAGTGATTTAAAAGCATTGTAATAAAGCGTTTATCCCCTTATTCTCCTTTCATACTCCGGCTAAAAAACAATATACCACAAACTGGTTATTGTTGATTGAGAAGTTATTATAAATTAATGAATTGCTCTTGCAAAAAAATTTTGAAGAAAAAACGAATATTGTCATTTAACGTAAAATTAATAAAAACGCGAACTTATGTTCTAATCAATAGGTAAATTTCGGGCGCTCCAGAAGTACGAGTATGTGCACCAATATGGAGGTAACTAATTTTGTTCGCCTATTTTACATCGAGTTGTGTAAAGAGTTTGAAACCTGTGGGCAGGGAAAATTCACTTGGCTAACACAGCCAGACCCCGAACTCGTAACAGAACTAAAATAGGGAAAATCGGAATCAAATTATGGCCTAACCCCAACTTGGTACACATACTTCGGGAGTGCCAAATTTTGTATTCAGTTTTTCAGCATTATTTCAGAGCTTAATTTTCAACATCATTAATAAATATTTTAATTTTCAGTTACCAAAAGCTGGAAATTTATCAAAAATATATCCAGAGTCAGTTGCAGAAACAAAGTGAAGACATCATATACCATGGAAACAATTTCGAATATTTCTTTCAATAGTGTTTATGGTTGAAATGTGATTACCATGAGCGATTTTAATTTTTGTGCCAAAATTAAATGGAATTTGTTTATCTATGTTTGTATTTCAGTTATAGTTTGTCATCTTGCGCATGAAAGAATCATTGTAATCCTAGAATTTTTTTTAAATTAAACCTGTATTGTTTATTGCTAGCGTTTGCTTTCTGTTCTTTCAAAAGTTTTTCTTTTTCAAGCTGTAAGATGTTGAAATAAACTGCTTTGTGTTGCAAAAATTGTTTGTGGATAGCTCATCAAAACTTTGTATTGCATACTAGATCAGTGCTTTATTAAAATTCTTCCAATGCTTTTAATCACATTTTTACAAATCGTGTTTCTGATTTGCCCACCAATGGCTTAAAAAGCCATGGAGAAGAGTAAAAGGGATTTAAACAGTAACCTGAATTTGAAAAGTCAAAAAATTAATTTTAATTTTGATATGCCTCTATCTAAAGCAAGCGTAACCAATGGGCAAATTATTAGCACGGCGGCCATTAATGGGTATTGATTAGAAACTAGTGGATTTTTTTAAAAAAATGCCCCTTCCCCCCAATTTTTAACATTTTTTAAATGCAAGTTTGCAGTATTTGCGGTAAGACATAATTTCATACGCCTTTTCTAAAACCCCATTCTCTCTATTTATGAACGATTCACTGAAGCCCGGACGTTTTCTGACTTGCTATCAATAAATCCTTTAACCAAATGAACCAAACGAGACAGGTGAAAATGCGCGCTTATATGCCCTGGGTAACTTCAACAGAGAAGTACTTCTGTACAGCGATTCTTCAATTAGGATATTGTTAGATACCAGTGGCTACTTTTTCTGAGGGCCGTGTTACGTCATTGTAAAAAAAAAATTGCCTCCCCCCTCTCCCAATTTTGGGCTGGCCACGCTCTCGTTCAGGCGTAGTTCATGACGTGCTATCTACTATACCGCCAATGTAAATCAATCGTAATCTTATTCAATGAAGTGACGTCTTAAACCAACTTCTAAATCATCTACAAAATATCGTTACCATACACAAAACATTTGTTTAGTTTTTTCGAAGCTATAAAAAGACACTCGTTCAACTGCTTACGCACGTGAAATGATATTCTTTTGATAGTATTTAAAGTGTTATTATGAAAATATGTGATAAATCGTTTCCGAAATCTTTGTACTAAGTCAAAATCTTGAATTCAACACACGCTTGTCATCGTTTGAAAATTGTTAAAATGAGTTTTAACCGAACCAGATTTTGAATTACCAAATAAGAGACGCACATTGTATCTGGGATTTCTAAATGACCGTGCTTGATCGAGTGTACTTCTAGATAATCTGTTATGAGTTTAGCATCGGGATACGGTAACGACACAGACAATTTTATGCTTTTGTTTGGCGACGATTAAATCGACAAGTTTTTGGATGTTTTTATAGCGCTACATAGCAACTTTTATTTGAGCTATTGATTGCCACAATTCTATCTATCGCGGTCAATAATTGAAATTTATTGCAAAAATCGCGAACATTAAATATGCGAATCTGGAATGTTGTAACAAAAACCGTTTCAAGTAGGCTGGATAATGTCACAACTTCAGAAATAGATGTTTTTGCCAGTTACAAGTTACTCGTAGGATCAGTAAGGCAACTAAATAATTAAGTGAAGGTTATGAAGTAAAACTGTCGTACAGCAATCCAATTCAAATATTGTTGTATAGGCCTATATATTCGATACCGATATTCGATTGATTGTTAAAACAATCAAAATAATTATAAAGCTAAATTTACCAGGCGAAGATGTAAACGAAAATGTACAGATTCCTATTTTTTCTAACAACAGTATAAATGTTTTGTAGGTAGAAATTAACCAACAGTTGTACTTAAAAAGAAAGGTTTTTATTAATGTCTCTGGCATAAAAACTCAGAGATTTGTTTGTCTTATATTCGAAAACAATTTTGTTCATAATACCAGTGAAAAGGCAACATGGCGAGTTCTTCGTGGAATGCAGGAACTACAATTGCTATTATCTTCTTCATTTTGCATCGAAATTTCGTCCTAGCAATTCCAACAGGTATGTTTAAACTTTGATTACAATGCCGAAGTATGCAAAAATAAAACGGATAGATCTTTTATTCTTTAGATAAATTGTGACACCGTCCATTTCTGGCTTGTATTTCTGAAAACTTATCTTCACATTACTTATCCCCATCAAGATGAACTAAACCAAACGTAACTGACTGTAATATGACATGGTCCCATTTGAACTTTTTACCATCTAACTTTAATACATATATCACCTTATTTATTCTTTTAATAACTCCTAATTAGGAAAAGAGGACAATTTTATGGAAGAATGCTGTCATTCGTCAATCATAAATTGTGGCAATCTATAGAGCTGTAGAAAGATAATCTATAGAGAGATTAAGACATTTCAATCTTATTTCAGTCACTTTACTTCCAAGTGGATGCGGTAGCTTGGGTGCAAATCCAGGACAAATTATTCTATCAGGAGGCGGTCTTAACTACACGGATCCTGTGAATTGTTCGCTCACAATGACAGCTACATCTTCTGCTCACCGAATTAGATTTGCTTTTAACACTGGTATGTGTAATTTGTATTTCAACTATATTCTAAGTGCTATAAGACACAAACAATAGAAAAAAGACGAGTTTGCATTCAAAAATCTACAATAATCTTAGGATTAATTTCATTTTTGTAGTTATGCTATATCTGTGTTATCTCGTCCTAATTATTTCTCCTTTATATCATATTATCTTTTATTTAATATTATCTTATGTTCATTATAAGGCACCGGCGATGTGGGGATTGTAAACAACCCAAACCCAGGAAGTGGAAGTTGCCCTCAAGCTTCGGTTCAAATATTTGATGGTCCTAGTGTAACTCAGAGTCCAAGAAGAACGTTTTGTGGCAATTTGCTTTCAACAGAAACGCTGTCAACCGGCGACACCTTAACCCTGCTGGTTTTGAGTAATGGAGGAAGCGGAACGAATATTAATTTTACAGCTCATTACACATCATTTACGGAAAGTAAGACTTTGCAAACAGAATTCTGCTTTATAGATAGCTGAACAACGAAGCTAGTTCATAATTTGATCGCAACTTTTTTTTAACATTTAGGTATTGATGATAATTATTTCACTAATTCTATTATAAAATATACGTTATTTCCATATTTTACAAAGATTGATCCTGCTGCAATAGAAAACCGTCCCAATGTGACGGTCAAAGTCTGTCAATACCTGGTTATACAGTATATTCAGCGAATTCAGGTTGGTTTGATTTTGTATCTTCAATCAGGCGCAGACTGTGGCGCTGATTTTCCCTGCAACAACGGTCGATGTATTTCTCCAACAATGAAATGTGACACAACTCTGATCAACAATTGTGGTGATTTCTCTGACAATTCGGAAGATCCGCCAGCAAATTGCACTGGTATGATTTGCATATTTTGAAATATTATGATTATGTATGAAAGGGAAATATTTTATTATTACGCCGCTGTTTATGTAACTGATTTATAAGTACATTCAAACTCCTAAAAATGTTGATCCTTTAGTATGAGAGATTAGATTTAGAAGCGACAAGGATTCCTATACGTCACTGAAAATACATTGGTGATGTTTTGTTTTATATAACTGCTAATGTGAACGTCTAAATATAATACATAGATGGTTTTCTGATAAAAGTGGTTCTTTTGTGCAAGCGACAACTATTCTGTCTGATATTCAGTGCATCTGTTTGTTTAAATGAGACTTAAGTGATTTATTTGATATTGAGTTTCTTATTTCTGTTCTCCAATAAAAGTTAGAAATTATGTTGTGGCTCAATAACGTAAATTTGAACCAAGATAAATAAAATTTTACTACCGAAACAGTAGGAACTTAAACAACACTCCACAGGCACAGTTCGTGCCCAGTATTGGGTATTGAGGGAGTGTGCATTATTTGGAATACTTCGTTGATTAATATGTAGGTCACTTTCACAGTTGATGCTTTTACAACATCACCAATGGACACAACAGCCGAGCAAACGACCAGCACACCACCCAGTGAGAGTGACACAAGTGCAGTAATATATGCAGCTGCAGTCATCGGCGGAATTTTCGGGCTTTACTTTCTTCACTGGTTACTTTTTAGGCCTGGATGGCTGGTGTGGAGGATGGGATGTTTTAGACACCTTAGATGTTGCAGGTACAAAATATTTGATTTATAAAAAAAATATCAAAATCTTGAAAGATATGCAAATGTCCGATAATAAAGTATAATATTTCATATCTGGGCTTGAAATAAATATCTATATAATTTCAAATAAATATGTTAAATTTTTTTTTTTTTATAAAAAAAAACTATCTTTCTGAATTCGTCGGAGCACCAGCGTTCTATTTGTTATCTCAATTGGCTGAAATGCCAATAAAAAATAAAACAAGAAGAAGAATTTAAAATTTCCATAAAAAGCTGCATTTTAAGGTACGGCCACTCGTTCAAATCGTTTTCTCAGCAGTATCAAAACGGACTTTTAAATCAACGATATATAGCTGCATGTTGAACAGTAATAAAACGTGTCGTCATATAACGCATGATATATATAGATGATAGATCATGGATTCTCAAAGTGCTCCATACGGAGCCCCAGCGATTGTGAGAGAAATCTGAGAGCTCCGCGAGTAATTCGTTTACTTATTAAAAATACTGAATATTTTTTTAACAAAAAGCAGCGGATACATTCGAGTCATTAAATAAAATAATTTTAGTTTACTCAGGAACATTAATCGGCAAGTAACAATGCCTTTTTAGTTTTATAAATTCATTGTGACGCTCCGTAAATAATAGTCAACCTCTTTACGGGCTCCATAACACCAAAAGTTTGAGAAACCCTGATATAGAATACAAGTTTATGATTTCGTTATTTTTTACGAAGAAGCTGCAATGGCTCAGGATCATCTAAGAACAGCGTTGATGCAGCAAAACCCCTGACATCAAGCATGAATAACATAAACTCAAAAAAATCTGATGGAATGTACTCAGACTCTCCCACGTCCAATCGCTCAGGTATGCTCATTCTTACATACATTCTTAGAAATCTCAGTGATTTTGCTCATTATTTCCAGGAGAATATGATAATGGATACACTTAAATAGTGATTGCACAAAAATAATGAGTCAGATTACTTGAAATGCTTAAAATACTTTAATATGGTGGTAACTTCCATTAGGATCAAAACTTTCATGTCATTTCAGTGCCTATCGAAAGCTCAGTTCAAACATCTGAGATCAACCACTCGTACTCTCCTTTTGTGGAAGGAATTAAAAGAGAACAACACGTCTTCACACTTCCAGCTTGAGACAGAATCACTTATTATTTTTTTTATTTATTTTTTATTATAAAGACAAACGTGATTGAACTAAATGACGTTATCTGAATAGTTTAAATCATTCACGTGTATTACATTAAATTGATTGTTAAAGTGTTCATACCTTGCTCTGCCACATCACTGGTAAGACTAGCAGTTAGCCCGATAAATAATTGAGAAGATGAATATTAAAGTTAACGCATTGAGTGTCCACTGAACACTAAATAAAATAAAACATTGTATATATAAAAATAACTGACATATTTTATAAAATAATATGATAAGATATTTCATTACCACGCCGGGGGAAAAGTTCGACGTCCAAGGCCATACGATTTTTTTATGACAACATTTGTGCAAACTACTTCTACTTCTGGAAGAATTAATGATTTTTCATGAGTGATATAATTGACTGATTGTACCAATGCACAATTTAAACGTTATTTAATAATGGATTTACTATTGGAAGCGAATATTCTTTTATTATTATTATTAGTAAATAATTATATTCAAAAAATTTCCTCAATCAAATAGTTTCCTCCATGTTCTTGAGTGCTTTGCTTGCTTGCTTCCCAGTCTCGCTAATTATTACTATTTATTTATTTAACCCTAATCTTTTCACTGAACACCCAGGTTTCCCGTTTTTTAATCACTTCATCTGTACTTTGCTGACTTTTATTGATGGCTTGTGGCTGTTCTGCATGCTGCTGGGCCTCTCTATTTTCTATCCAGTATTCCCACGCCATCTTTATTTTCATTGGCTGCTCGCCGCTGCTTCTCTTGCTTGCTCTCCTGCCCGCCGGCCCCTTAGCTTCTCTGAACACCGGACTTGCCTGATTGCCCTTTCCAACAACTCGGTTAACCCCCCTCCCCCCCTCATACCAGGTCTGATGCTTAACTTATGTCTATACGCTTACCTGCGCCACCGCTACTGACAAGAATCGGACGCATAAAAATTTTGCTTGATTAACAATGTCAAGTCTGGCAGCCCACCACGAGCCTATATGACGCGAAAAATTTACATTATACTGTATAGCGAATGTAGAATATAACTATGGATTTCATTGTTATTTATTTTAACCTCTTTGTATTAAAGAATGTTGAATTCAATAAAAATATGGGCCTTTCAGCGATCTCCCTGATGCTGATTTATCGTAGCAAGGTTGCTCTTTATGCTTCTTTGGATCGACCAATCTGTGACGCGTCACCGCCTGCAATCGAGTTTTGAGAATCTAGTTTTTTTGCATTATTACTGATTTGGATATCACGCGTACAACTGGTATTAAAAGGCTCAAGTGTATATTTCTATGTATTCAATTCGAACATTGACATTACAATATATTGTGTGCTTATGGTTCTTTTCAAAGTTGAGAATGGCGTTTAACTATGCTAACCTATAATAATAATACGGGATAAGGACACGCAGATAGGGACACACCCATTTCCCCTATAATACATACTGTGGTGTTTCGAAGTACGTGCGTCCATGACTCGTGCATCTGGCACTATCGTGTGCGCTGCTTTAACTCTTGAATGTGGGGATTTTCGGGAAAAGAATGTGAATGTGATATCCCGTTTTCAATCGTTGTTCATTTTAGTTTACTTTATTTAAGAAAATGCGTGATTATGCAATTATCGGCAAACATGTGCGTAAGATAATTTAAGCAGAGAATGGGCAAACCAAATTTCAGACTGTCAGTAGAGGAATACTAAGACTGGAAAACGGTTCATCAATTCGATCCTCTCTATCTTTTTTGCTGGCGGACCTTCTTATCTCTGGTCTACTGTTTCCAAATTATTAAAGCATCTCACTAAAAAATATTAAAATTGGCGCGACGTTATGCCTTTACAGATTGATACGATATCATACAATTGAAAATAAAACGTAAAACATCATAAATCCAGTCGTAAGAGCCACGTGACTGGAAAAACATGCTACCTTAGAACAGGCCCTAAAGATGAAACTCGGTAAATCGAGGGTGCGATGTACCTTTCTATTAATTCTGGCACTAAATATTCATTAGGAATTGTGAACTATAATAATTAGCAACATAAATTTCAACTGCGTTTCAAAATTCAACGTTTTACTAATATAAAAATAACACGCGATATATGGAAACATTGAGAACAATATTTCAGGAAAAGAGCAAAATCTTGAACTATCCTCGCATTATTTGTTATACGTTCTTCGTGAAGCAAATCACAAAAAACGACAACTTTATTGTTACTTTGACGTCACAATCCAGACTATTTTCTAATTTCCATAATTTTTTCATTTTTTTTATACATTCTTCCAAAGGATCATGATTTTCGTTTTCCTTCACCCATTCCTGAAACATGTAATATTCCGGAATTGCATTGAAATGTGTTCTTAAGTCTTCCAGTGAGAGAGAGATTGCACCGACCAAGTCATCATTTCTGTACTTCCTTACTCCTGATATTCTGTTGTAAACCTTTTCGTATCGCAAAGTAAGCTCGTATTGCAGAGGAGCGTGGGTTTTAAACCACTCCGCCGATTTTCTGAGGTATTGCTCCAAGATGTTCATTCCAGACTGTAGTTGTGAACCCTCATTTTCATGCAGCATAATGTCCACGAAATCATGTCCACAAATTATGGTGCCGCCTGTAGATTTCAAAACTCTTTCACATTCTCTTATATAGGTTTCAACGTTCATGTAATGAAATGCAAAGCAACACCACACTAGATCTACCGTATTGTCCAAGGCTGGCATATTACTCTCATCTCCAATAACATATTGAATGTTATCGCTTGAATTTTCCTTAATCGCCATTTTTATTTGTTCTTCGCTTTTGTCAATACCTATTACTTTACTAAAATGTTCCGCAAATATCTTTGTTTGAAGACCGTTTGCACATCCCATATCTAACATTAGATCAAACTGAAGTTGATCTGATTTGCGATCAGGGTCAAGCCGCAGTAAGAAATCAATAATGAACTTTTTCAATATATCCGGATAAGTAATCTTATCCTTTACGAATAACTCAGCAGCATGGTGATTTTGATATAATCGGGCCTCCATTCAACAATACTTTGGAAAGCTATATTAATCACCTGGAGCGTAAATAGAGTTATGACTTCAAATAAATACCAACAATTATTAACACTAGGTTGGACACAACAGATAAAACTTAATGAACTGTTGGAATCACTGAAGAGCCAGATGTATCATAAAATTGAATAGGTACATTAACTTGTATGAAGAATCATTTTTCATTAAACATAATTAGAGAATATCATCGTTTTATTACCTCAAACTCGAATTTTGTTTGAATTTATAACCAATAAATAGAACATTCTGCAGCTATCTGTTTTAATAAAATAATGCTTTCTTATAAAACAACGAGTCCGCCTGAGTATCATATGTATTGTATTATAACATCTTGTCTAACTGAGAAATTGGTATTTGCTCATATCATTCTTCCGATTACCTGGTATTTTTTTTGTCTAACGTATGTCTATGTTCATACCAATATGTAAGATATATAAATATATTATCTGCCATGTCAAATATTATAAACGGATTACAACCAAATAATATTATCTGCCATTTCAAATATTGTAAAACGGATTACAACCAAATTATTTTTGGACTCAATATGTTATTGAACAATCAATATTTATGATTCCGATCTTTTTTAGATTTTTTGTTAACTAAACCCGAATAATTACACACGTATAAATATTAGCATTGCCTTTCATATTTTGTGTAGACATTTCAATATGGAATGAAAGAAAAGCGTTCTGCAAACTTTATCGACGGAAGTTCTATAAGGTAAAAATTACAAGCGAAACAATAGGAGTTTCATCCAATTAGAAATTGACCAAAGACGAAGGTTTCTGTAATAAGCTATTTCAATATTTTGTTATTGTTTATAACTCATCTAATTCCGAATTGATTACTATTTTCAATTGTAGCGTTTTCCGGTATCGCGTACGTGCTAACATGTATGATTGTAAAATTGTCTGAATGAGTAAACTGATAAAATATTTTCAGCCTAAATTGAAGTTCGAATGAATGCATAACCGGTAGTTAAAAGTGCTTTATAAATTTCCAGAATCGACATCCAAATCCATCATCTCAAATTAAACATTTCTGTTATAGGGTTACACGTTACTTTCGTTTAGACCTGTTTATATTTTATGCTAGGCACTTAAACGCAGTCAGAAAGTAATTTGTCATTTCAATGAGTCTAAACTCTGAATATATTTATCAGCAATTTGCAATACTACATGTTCTGCTTCATTCAAGTTTCTGGCCTTTCGTCTTTGGAATGTCTGAATATTAGTCTGATTAGGACGAATATCTGCAGGGGTGACAAGAGAAGACGATTTCACTTTTCTGTGTAGTGTGCTACCTAGTATCGGAATATTAGAATGTCTAAACTCTAATTCCTTCATTCTGTTTTCGGTAATACTGGTAATCGATCACAGGCATATTTTTTCACAAATGCTACAACCACATCAACCTTGAACGTCGTCCAGCATAGTCATTTTGTGTTTCTATTTTAAATACGTCATTGTATGAAATAAGTATATGTTCCCATCTATCATGGCGTATTTCGTGATTTGGTCCAAGGCCAATAATGACAATGACCGGATCAATGACATGAGTCACTATATTTTTGGATATCATGATCGCTCTATCTAGCCTTATGATATATTTCGTGATTTGATTTAAGGCCGATAATGACAATGACCGGATCAAGACCGGTTTTCAAGATCGTTCTGTCTAGTCCAGGTTGCGAACCCCCGGGGGTTCACTGGAAGATTCCAGGGGTACTAGGATGGCAGTTGAGTTTTCATGTGTTGCTATTTTTTAATATCCCTCACTTATACCAGAGAAAATTATGTGCCAATTAAAACTAAGGTAGATTTTTTCTTGATCTGGCGTTGTCGAGATGCAGCAATGTGGAATCTACGACTTTGCAGCCAAACTGTGAAATTCCAAAATGACAATGTGCTGCGAGCTTTGCAGAAAGTTATATGCTAATTGGGCAATAACACCAACACAAAAATTTAGTTCAGTTACAGCAGTTATGGTGGAAATAACTAAATATCCTAAATAACAAAACATAACTACTAATTTTTAATTTGAGTCATGTCCTCATCAGCGACAAAGGAAAGTATGATGAATCCTATATCCAGTATGGATTTCGCTGCTTTTGACAAAAATGGGCATGGTTTTCCACAGTGTGCAAGATTATATGCTGCAGGTTTTATCCGTGGAGTACATGAAGCCTACTTTTCTCAAACGCCATTGAGACAGTTGTCACCCAAATCTCAAAACTTTCTTCAAGCAAAGAGAAGTTAAATTGAAAACGAGCTCGCCCTGATCGTTCGGAATATTTCAAGTCAACGGAAATGAAGCCGAGCTTCGTGCATCCTACATGGTATCACTGAGAATTGCAAAAGAAAAAAAAACTCACAAGTCACAACATTGCAGAGAAATAGATCGTCCCTTGCTGTAAAGTTTATAATTCGCGATGTTGTTAGTTGCGATGCTGAAAAGAAGGCTGCATCAATACCCCTCTTAAACGATACAGTTCATCGACGAATAGTAGATATGTCAGATGATGTCAAACAACAAGTGATTGCTGAATTAAACAAGGCACCTCCAGGAAAATTTACAATCCAACTAGATGAGTCAACTGATGTGGCTGCCTGTACTCAACTCCTGGTGTTTGTGCGATTCGTCGGTGATAAAGATTTCAAGGGAAATTTATAGTTCGGTCATACCTTAGATTCGACAACAAAAGGCGAAAACATTTTTAAAAAGATCTCAACTTTTTTGCGAAAGAAGGACTATCCTGGAAGGATGTATGTACAATGTACATACATAACTGACAAATAACTGACATACATCAAATATTGGCCGTCGAAAGTGTTTTCGAGAAAAAGTGGCGGAGAAAATTCTAAACAAGGTATCGAGCTAGGTTAGTACTTGATGATATTGTGCATATATATGACAAATACCATCAAATCAAGTTTCCTAAATACACGGTTATTTTCCTCACTGTGTCTAGGATTAGGAAGTGAAAATGTATTACTGTATCACACTGAAGCCCGCTGATTGTCACAGTGATAGTCATTGTTATATTGAATGAACTACCGTTTGGCCAACAGGTAGCTAATACAGTTACAATCTGTAATTAAACGATGAGCATACTAGAATAGTAATATATTTTTCTATAATATACAAAAACTATTTCTCAATAATATCATAGTATAAAAAGTTACAACTAAATAACTTCAATGTTCGCATTGGGTTCATTTTGAGAAACAAATCACGAAAAACGATAACTTCAGACAAACGTTGACTTTACTATTAGCCTCATTTTCTAAACGCCACATTTTCTTCGTGCTTTCTTCTAATCTAAAGGATCGGTTTCATGGTGCAATTTTGACCATTCTGAAAAGTCATTGTACTCAGGAACACCCACAATAATTTTTTTCAATTTTTCTGAAGACAATGTGACGGTTCCAACCAAATCATCATTCCTGGACTTTTGTACGTCTGATATTTAAAAAAAAAACGTTTGGTAACCGCGAATAAACTTCCTATTCTGTCGTAGAGTGAGTTTCGGACCAGTCAATTGCTTTCTCGAGGTATATGGCAAACGCCAGCATTCCAGAATCACTTTCATTGATTTCGCTCTGTGTTAGAGTGAAATCAAGTATGTTAAATCCAGTGAGTAATGCACATCCCATTGGTTTTAAAACTCTTTTACATTCTGTTACAAAAGTTTCAACGTTCATGTATTGAATAGAAAAGAAGCTCCATATTAGATCTACTGTGTTTTCAGAAGTCGGCATTCTGTTCTCATCCCCAACAACATATTGAATGCCGTCATGACCATTCTTTTTGTTTGCCATATTTATTTGTTCTTGGCTTTTGTCAAATCCAATAATTTCTTCAAAATGTTTAGCAAACATGCTTGTATGACCACCGTTACCACAACCCGCGTCCGGCATCGGGTCATAACGTCGATCATGGGTTTTGTCTGTGTTGAGTTGAACTAAACAATCAATTGCATACTTTTTTAATATCTGGATATTTGAACATGCCTTCTTCAAATTGTTTAACGACATCTTGTTTTTCATATAATTGAGCTTCTATTTAAGACAGTTGTGTAATATATTATTTGTAATTTCTCTATTTTTTAATATATACCATAGATATATTTAAGATAAATGTTTTTTGAAATACAAATCATTGCAAAGAAAGTAAAATGGATCCGCCCCGTATGAAAAATGTTTATACGGCTAGCCAAATAATCGAGAAAGGCGTCGATCAAGAGTAAAAAGTGACAAATGTTAGTTAGATCACCAAAAATTCACATCTGTCGTTAGAATAGTCCGTTCTCCGTATCAGAGTTGGATCAGTTGTAATTTGTAATTGATGTAATTAATTACAGTTTTTCATGTAATTGAGGCATTTTTATTTTGTGTAATTGTAATTTGCTAAAAACTTGACTCAATTACACCAGGGGTCACCAAACTACGACGTCCTTTCATCTGTCCCGCAATAACGCGAAATATTTTCCCAAGGAGCGTTTTCCGAGAATCGCCCTCCTTTCTTATTTTGTAACATTAGCCAATCAGCAAGATGCGAAAAAGTGACGTAACAATATGCCTTTTCGCATCCGTTAAGACACTCAGACAGATTTTCAGTCGTGGTTGTAAAATGTGAACAATCCCTCATTTTGCGATTTGGAATGCTATTCGTTGGTTTTTAGTTGTGTTTCGGGAAAGATAACCATGAATCAGGGGAGCGGTAGCGTCAAAGGTAAGAACTGCTTCACTCTATGTAACGTGATCATATATTTGAGCATTGCTCTATTGTAATTGTAAATGTAATGTTTTCAAATCTTTGTAAACATAAACGAAAGTGGATTTATTTGACGCTTTCAATTAATAAAATGATCAATGTTGCCACGTACACTCATATCATAGTAGTGACAAGATGCTTGCTATATGTTTCAAGGAACAACGATAGTGATACTATTTTACCCTAATCCCTGATCCAAACACAGGCAGCAGCTGGGCATAGTCAGTGTTAATGTTCGATCAAGAAATCCCGGACATTCAACTCATTTCTTCTTAAATCCATGATTACAGATAACAACACGACCGATCATTACAATACTTTTTATGTCGACCACGAGGTCCCTGGTATATATAATAATACTTTTTGTAGAAAAAGGGAAACATCTAAAAAATCAAAAGTAGTTGAATAAATATGAGTATCTTAAGACATAATGTCTGTCATATTAATATGCAAAAGAATAATTAGGGTTCGTAAGTAGAGCATCCTTTTTATTTATATTTTTAGTTTCGTTATAGAATTATACACGTCGAGATAAATTAAACAACACGAGATCTGCAATGATTATCTGAGAGTAGAAAATCTCCAAAAACTCAAATTAAAATTGATACCAAAATGTGTTTGAGCACTTCATAGTATATGATTTTTTCGCTTTCATTACATATAACTCAACGAATGAAATCTCGTATGAAGATTATTCTGTGGTCAAAATGGTAAGTCTATTTAATCCACAGGATGATTGAATCTTTTTTTAAATCGGTTGTATCGCGACTACAACACATTTAATTTCAGATGCATCCCACAGAAATGATTTATTTTCTACGTAAAAAGAAAGATAATGCAGTATTGTAATTTACGTTTATTTTAGGTAATTTTGTGTTAACAATGCAACTATTGTCAAAAAACATCAAGCACATGTTTCTTACTGATGGATTTGTTGCACCCCTGTAATAAAGGTCCAATTGCACTAAACTGCCCAAGAACTCGAAACAATATTACCTTAATTTAAATTTATGATATGTAAAAAATGACAAAATTAAAATATAGTTTTTATTGAAATTTTCGAAATGCGCCAATTAACTTTATTTTTTTTTAAATGCGCCCTGAGTGAAAAAAAGTTTAGCAACCACAGTATTAGTGTAATGCTTTGATTTGAGGGATGTTTCTAATGTCAATTTCGGGCTCAATTCTCACAGCTCTTCAATTTTTTGTTGACTAACCATCATCTTCTTTGGCTTTCCCCCATCTACTATGTTATTTTAAATCCTCCTCCCAGCGGAAAAATATCATTTGATCAACGTGAATGATAAATCAATCGTAACCTAATAGCATTGAACAAGACACTCGCCCTTCGCTGGCATGGTAAGGTCTGCCAACACGATTGAATTTCCTTTACTTTCCGACCACTTCGCAATGTCAACTGCAATTTTCTAGGCCACAGGCTCTTGTTGTTTATTAGCTAAATATAAAGCCAACTTGGGACACACAAAATGCATATATTTATAAAATAACGAAGCACGTAATAAAATTTAGATTGCAGCTTAGAAAATTAGGCTAATTTCAACTCGAAGAAAAGTCTGTAAATGGGAATAACTAACCTGTAATATAAAGCCGTAATTAAGCGCTCGCCTTGATGAAAATGACCTGTTTTTTTGACCCATGTTTCAACTCATTGGTGAAATGTAGCACACTGTAGAAACGGACGTCCGGATATATTGCACAAAATACGATTCAATTCTTTTATATTGCCAATTGTTAAACGAGAATATCGGAGACCGAAGACTTATCGATCGAAAGCTAGGGGATCCCAAAAACAGAAACTGCGGTTTCGATTCATCCGCTCCTACCCCATAGCGACACAGTGTGTCCAATCACTAATTAATTGATAACTCGCTAATTATACGACATATTTCATCCAAAATAAATAAGCTTCTGGTCCGAGATATGATGAATGCACATGCAAACTTTGGAGCAGATTCAACTTCGATTTCGTGAGATATCGCGTGCATCTAACAGACAAACCAACAAACAAACAGACAGACACATACCTATCTTAAAATCGAGATCGATAAGTAATTAATTCAAAACAGAATTATGGTATAAAAATCTCAGCCAGTATTGTAAGATATATGAATTATGGATATATATCGTTGCATAAGCACGTTTTACATCTTGTTTACAGAAACAAAAATGGATTGATTTATGTGCCAAATGGCCTGTTCATATTTCAGGTAAAACTCCATTACGTGATCAAAATACATGATTATTCTAACAAATATGAAAATGATTGAAACAAATTTACTCGAATACAGGTCATGTTATCAACACTAGCACAGTAATAACAGGAAAAGCCGAAAATTATACAGCATTAATCATCGCTGTCTGCGAAATACACGACAACTCATTATCTTGCTATGTTTCGCTATATCGGTGTGAGATATCATTTGTTGCAATATTACACAGCGACAAAAACTTGTAATTGACTGAGAGTTAGTGTGTTTGAATCTTCGTTCAAGAATCCGGCTCTCAGCCTTTTAAATATATAATAAAATACAGAATATTCGAATGAGTCAGGGATACGATGAGAAAGATCTATCATTTTGTAACATAATTATTGTGCTTGATAAGCTTGGATAAATATTTGGTGAAGCAGATAGATTTACCTACTACAAACCGCTATTATTCTCACGACAGATGAGAACTTTTGGGGGTCTTACTTTAGGGCGGATCCATTTTACTAATGGTATTAAAGAATAGAGAAATAGCAAATAATATATTACACAACTGCCTCACATGGTAGCTCGGTTATATGAAAAAAAAGATGCCGTTGACCAATTTGAAGAAGGCATGTTTGAATATCCATATATTGTTAGAAAGTATGCAATTGATTGTTTAGTTCAACTCGACCCATACAAAATACATGATCGACGTTATGACCTCATGTTGGATGCGGGTTGTGGTAACGGTGGTCATACAAGAATGTTTGCTAAACAATTTAATGAAATTATTGGATTTGACAAAAGCCAAGAACAAATTAATATGGCCAACAAGAAGAATGGTCATGACGGCATTCAATATGTTGTTGCAGATGAGAACAGAATGCCGGCTTCTGAAAACACAGTAGATCTAATATGGAGCTTCTTTTCTATTCAATACATGAATGTTGAAACTTTTGTAACAAAATGTAAAAGAGTTTTGAAACCATCAGGATGTGCATTACTTACCGGATTTAACATTGTTGATATCACTTTGTTACAAACAGGAATCCATGGAGGCGATTCTGGAATGCTGGCGTTTGCAAAATACCTCAAGAAATCAAATGAGTGGTCCAAAACTCACTTAACGACAGAATATGAAGTTTATTCGAGGTTACCGAACGTTTTTCAAAAAATATCAAGCGTACAAAAGTTCAGGAATGATGATTTGGTTGGAACCATCACATTGTCATTGGAGAAGTTGACAAAATACATTGTGGGTGTCCCTGAGTACAATGAGTTTTTAGAATGGTCAAAAATCCACCATAAATCCGATCCTTTAGAAGAAGGCATGAAAGAAATGAAGAAAATGTGGAGTTTAGAAAATAAAGCTGATAGTGAAGTCAACGTTTGTCTGAAGTTATCATTTTTTGTGTTTTTTTTCTCAAAATGAACCTCATGCAAAAATCGAAAGTATTTAGTTACTTTTTATAATATGATATTCTAGAGAAATACTTTTTGCATAACATAGAAAAAAGAGAGTAATATTCCAGCATGCTCATCGTTTAATTACCTATTGTAACTGAATTAGCTACCTATTGGCCAAATGATAGTTCATTCAATATAGCAATGACTATCACTGCAATGCCATAAATAATCTGTTAGCGTTGGCATAATATTACAACGACACAAAAGGCTGTCTCCACGAAATGTGTTTGTTCACTGACTATTCGATGCCGGGTAGGATGGTCCTGGATGAAGTTTTGTCTGAGGCGGCACAAGATTATAAAAATACAGTCATTGAGAAATATATCGTCGTGAAACCATTTAGTTAATCTGCATTGTGACAGGAGGCGCAGATTTTGGCACGTCTTCATGAAGGCCGTTAATGAAGTAAAATATTACGGTATCTTATCTGAACTTCCAAATTTCATTTATACTTCATAATTGGCATGGATGGACAGTAACTGAAAAAGTTTGATGTCGTATTCAATTTAAACTTCAAACTAAACACTCTCGAGGAGAGTCGACAGTAGATTGTGTCTAGCTTAGAAACAGGCCTCACTCAACCACAACGAAACTCACAAGATCTTAGCCAGGAGCACGCCAAGCAAACTGAATGCCACAGTCAATACTGTAAACAAATAGAAAGCTTGAAATCGAGACGGAACGGGTTTTGATATAAATAATGGCCGCAAAGAAAGTAAGATTATACGGGGTGAAAAAAAAAAACGAATTGTCAAGCAACTTTAAATACAGAACTACTGATATTGAAATTATTTGCCATACATATAACTTTAAAATGGAAAAGAAAGATTTATATTCGCTAACTTTATAACATATCCATTTATTTTTCCGACTTCGTTTCGACTTTCGCGCTGAACATTTCGGGAATTTATTGTGCAAGGTAGCAAAGCGCCCGAATATATTTTATTGAGGTTTGATCATGGATCTGAACGAATCTCTAACATGTTCAATATTACTTTCCATTAATTGATACAATCTAGATAAAGCGCAAATATCTATATGAGCGAACTTATTTGAAATTTAGTATTCGCGCAAATTATGAGCATAATTGCGAGCATTAAATATGTCATCTCAACCCTAGGTTTCCAACTTTTTTCTAGTGATAACTGCGAGACACCGTTTAAAACATATTGAATGTTTGAAACAATTCACAAAAATAAAGCTATGATTATCAATACCATAATGTTATTACCCACGCGAGAGCAGCATTGTATTCAAACATACAGAAAATTTATATAGGAGTCATTGAAAAGGTTAGTTCCCACAGTTTAGACCTAATTGCTTTCTGCAGGATTTCTGATTTCTATTGTTAATTCGATCAGTCACTAGTTTCCACTTAATGATTTTTATTCATGCGTGACTGATCATGTTTGAAGTTAAAATCCCCAAATAAAGAAGAAGTTAATGTCGTGTAGTAGTTTATGGATATTCAAGTTTACCGAATATATATATATGGAGATTCAAGTTTCGTGTTTAACAACAATTTTTTCAAATATTCTTGTTGACTAAGCACCTTCTTCAACTTCTAAATTCTCATCCATGGTGAAAAATACTATAATCAATACGTTCTCTTCCATATCTGTTTTGTTCTTTTTCAAATTTGAGCAGTAACAACGTGGCAATTTAAAATCGAGCCATATTTTTTTCACATAACAGTTCACAGTCGAACTTGGCCACATAGCCTGGGATAAAGTCTCGGTGTCTCGAAAATGTCGTGTTCCACGTGACCCATATGTCCCATTTGTCCCACGTGTCGTCCCACTTGGACCACGTGGCCGAATGAGACAAGGGACAAGTGGCACACAACTTTTTTTGGACACCACAGATTCTGTAGTGATTTATTACCCACATAATCAAAGAAATTTTAAAATGAATAGCCTACAAGTACTTATGAACATTGTACTTATCTTGGGCGGTTCTGCGGTCTAATGTAAGACGGTTTCACAGCTAAACTGACGCCTGATTATTATCACCTAATAAGGATATTCCAAAAAGAAACAAGCATTACACAATGTCGTTCAATATTCAATTGGTTATTTTTTGACCCAGACAATATTGAACTATTTGATATCGAGTAGAAGTCCAATTTGGATGATTCCAACTTCGAGAAAGCAGAATCGCATTATAAAAATGGAGAAAACTTTGTAAAAAGTATTGAGGAAATGCTTCAGAAAATTCGTCATGGGGAATATAATTCTGCAATTTGCAATTTTTCGTAGATGTGAGCGGTTCGCTCTTTTTTTTTTAGCCTTTGCGATTATTTGAGTTAAAACTTTTGTTGTTATTAACGATACAGAAATGTTGGGACTGCATTTCTATCTCAAGCCAAGTTTTAAACGGGTAATACACATGTCATTGATAAGTATACGGATCAGAAGCCTGTTCCAGAAAGTAATGTACCGATCGAATATTTTGAACCATGCGTCGGCAATCAGCGGGCCAGTTTGAATCTAAATTTATTTGCGCACCGCCCTTCAGAAACATTTCTTCTACTTAACTTAGAGGTCCAACTCAACTATATAACGCAAGCGAATTCTAATGTTCGATATTGATTACCGATAAATTTTCTTTGTTAAATATTATGTTGCGTAAACCTATATCATTTCATCTTACTGTATTCAAATTTAAGATAACAAAATATCACGGTCCTATTGCATCTAACGATATGACATTGCACTGCTTTCCGAAGGTTGCGACCACTGTTTCAAACTACGTACAACGCTTGAAATATATTTTATCTAGATTTTTATATTAATATTGTTGTGATCTTCAAAGATTAGGAAATTCGAATTCGATGAATTACGCCAGTGTGCTCAAAATCAATATCCTCCGACTGAGACAATAGAAGACTATTTTTAAAAATGTTTGATGTGAACTAATCTCAAATCGGTAGTTAACAAAAATCCCCGATTATATTGATAGAAATGTGTTCAAAAGAATATATTTTTTATGCCGCCCTTATGCACGCAGGAGGCGGTATGTATGTGACAGGGCCGTCAAAGATTGGCAACCGCCGATTTTCTGTACAAATATACAAATTGGCAAAGCCAAAACATTTCATTTATATAGAGTTAACGGATAGGTTCCATTTGTATCGTTTACGATGATAAAATAATAGTATTTTATCAACGCTAATCAGCCAGGTATTAAATTTATTTGATACAACGAAAGTACGTTCTATCATCAAGTTCGATCCAAATGGCGGGGTCTTTGTAACCATTTCCTGTGATTGTTGGGCCATACCCAGGATCAAAGGTGGATAAAGGTTGTATCTAAAGTCAAAGCATGATTTTTGATAAAACTAATCGCTGACGAAAATTTCCGCGGATGCAAAATTCCTCAGGATAAACCTTTTTTTTGGCCAAAAGTACTTCAATAATAACGATATAATGGAAACAATTGGAACAAGTGTGACACGACATTTTTGAGACACTCACAGAGTGTTGCATCTTATCATGTTAAGCATTTCTTTATTGCATTGAATTCACCTAACATGAGTTTTTTTACAAATGGCGCAATTACATAAAACTTGGAGGTCGTTCATCATAGTCTTTTTGTTGTTGTTGTTATATGTTTTATGGCGCTAACAACTTCAGCGGTCTTTTGCGCCTTTGATCAATTCGAATTTAAAAATACTATACTAACATAATACAATATTTACGAATATATAATTATACAATTGAATCAATTACAATAAGTAAATATTTCTAAACATTTCTGCCTTTTTTTTAGTCTTTTTGTGTATCTATCATGAATACGTCATTGCATGAAATATGTTCCAATCTATAACTTATATTGTATTTCGTGATTTGGTCTAAAGCCGATAATGACAATAACGAGATCAATGACATGAGATACTTTATTTTTGGTTGTCATGATCGTTCTGTCTAACTCTAGCCTCGTGATAGATTTAGAATTCGATATATATTTTGACTAGTGCAATTCAAGGTGGATAAAAATAATTTGGAGTGTTTCATGAGTGCAATGAGTTTTTCAAAATGGATGGGAAATGCATCATGCAATATAGCATTATAGAAATGAAAAGAATGTGGAGTTTGGAAAATAGACGATGATAATGAATTCATCGTTTTTCTGAGGTTATCATTTTCGCGCTTGGGTTTTCGAAATGAACTTGATGTCATGATCATGAGAATTCAGTGGCAACTTTTTCACGCATGAGGAATTTTTTTCTCACTTAAAATATAAATAATAAAGTGTTGCATTTCATCATGTTAAGGCGTTTCTTTACTGCTTTGAATTCACCTGGACATAACTTCGTACCAAATGCCTCAATTACATAAAACTTGGACATCGTTCATTATAGTCACATGGATACTGAGATCTACATACGTATTCTAACTTGCTATATGGGTATAAGGGTTTCCTTTGTTGCGATATTCAATAAGTTTACAAACAATTTCAAAACACTATCAGATGTGCTATTTCGATATCATGAAATATTGTCATCGTCAATCGGATCCCCTGAGCTGAGTTTGGTATAAAAAGTTGAATTTAATTTAGTTTTGTTTGAGTTAATGATTTGGGCCTAAGTCCTTTTATCTTGGACAAAAACGTCGATGATTCGTTACAATGGTCCAAGTCACATTTTAAAAAAGTACTTTTTTTCTTAAAAAAATATATTTCACAGTAATTCTGACCCTTCGACGTCAGCCTTTAAAAATCAAAATCATGATTGAATGTTCTGGCAGACGTAACGTTATTAGCTAACGCTAAATGTAATTCTAACTTGTCCAAGTTAATACTGTAAAGGTTTTGAAGGCCCGTCACTGCTGAAATAAAAAATTAAATTGTGTTCCAAGAAATTTCTGGTTATATCTATATTGTTTTGCAGCATATATCGTCAAATATCTAACACAGCTGTCTTAAATGGAGGCTAGATTATATGAAAAACATGATGTCGTTAAA